AGCCTATAAATTTCATAAATTTCGATTAATTTAAGACCATTAACTTTTATTTTTGATTTTTTTTTTTCACATAAATTTTATACTAATAGTTACAAATTCAATATTATATCTAATTAAGATCATTACGCTTCAAATAAATATATTCAAGATATTCAATAAATAATGACAAAACTGTAAAAAAATAATAACTAATGAATTCTGAACTAAATTAAAGATATATTAAAAAATAGAACTTTATTCCTCTTGATTATTACAGTAAAGTGAATTTTTTTCTTCCTTTTTTTTTTTTTTTTTTTTTTTTTTTAACCCACGATAAAGTTAAACTAATTGATAATTTTCCAATAAATAATGCATTTGATTTTTACAATAATTATAATAAAATTCAGTCATTGTAATTTCAAAATTACATACATTTGCTCACTTTCCCTTTTTAGGGGATCCAAATTTCCGTAGACACTTATTAGCCTGGTCTAATATGGATTCTTTTAAGAGGAAATTTTTGGTATTTTATATATATATATATATATATATATATATATATAGTATATGTTTTTTCAAATGAGAATAAAATGTCATGTCTTTTTCTTAAAATTTATTTTATGTCAATTTTGACAAAAAAAAAAAAAAAAAAGTCAGAGGGGCTTATTTGCACATTTTTTAAATTTTATCGATTGAAATGAACATTTTTAAATTTAAATTTTATGAATTGAAATGCACATTTTCAAAAAGTATGGACTATTTATACACAAACCCTATATATCAGGGGGTTTTTGCACTTAACCCAGAAATTTATATTAGAGAAAGTATTAATGTTTTTTTATGCGAACAAGGATAATTGCACTATATTGATAATATAGGAGGGTTTTGTACCACACGAGAACTATTTTGCACTATGTGTTCAAAAGCCCAAACGACCTCCAATTAAACAAAAAAAATAAAATATAAAGACAAAATGTGACTTTTACGGCCCGTTTACTAATGCCTTCACTTTCTTACTTTTACTTTTTCCAAAAGTAAAAACATGCTTTTCATTTCTAAAGTTGAAATATAAAATAGAATTATGTTTACTAATTTTTTATGCTTTTAATATTTTCAAAGCAAGAAATTAGAAAGCAAGTTTAATAATTATAATTTTGATTTTGTTTTCTAAATTTACAATCAATGTTATATACTCTCTGTATCTATATATATATATATATATATATATAGTGAACATGATTCTTCACCAATTTCTTCCCATGCCTGGTGGTGGTCCATTCCGGCGTCAATTGCAGCAGTGATAATATATATGGACCACCACCAGGCATGGGAAGAAATTGGTGAAGAATCATGTTCACTATATATATATCATCACTTTGCAAAATTTTCTAGAGAGAGAGAGTGTTCAGATGAGGCCACAGAACCTATGAGGGTCAACTATGAGGGCTTCACCTGTATTTCAATCAAATGAATAAGAAGACTTGATTGATTCAAGGATTCTTTGATTGAAACCAAATGTATAAGGCATGGGAAGAAATTGGTGCGCCGCATTGGTTAACACCGGCGACTGACGTTGTTTTCCTCATCTTCTTTCTAGTTGAACTAGGAGCCTCAATTTGCTCTTCCTTTGACGAATTTGAGCCGCCCAACAGAGATTCCACTGTTGAATCCTTTGATTTTGAGGGTGGGTTTCACCATCGACAATAGCTCCTCCGTGGGAAGCGAGTGTTTGTAGAGATAGAAAGAGGAGACATAGGAGAGAGGTGTTCTAACATAAACCAAAGAAGATTTCGGATGTGGCGATGATGGTGGTGGTTGTCGGCAATGGTGATGGTGACTGTCGGCAGCAAAGGTCTGCCCTTTTTTTTTTTCTGTGACTGGTTGAAATTGATTTGGGTATATTGCTGATGGTGCCTATATGAGAGGAGAGATGGTTGTGGAAGAGGCTATGGTGGGAGGTGGCGGCAGTGACCATGACCATGGTGGGGAGGAGGTGGGTGGAGGAGATGGGTGATACAGGTGAGGCCTAATTAGCAGAATTTTTTTTTTTTTTTTTTTAAACCTAAAAAATAGGTTATTTTGAGCTCTTTTTAAAAAAATAAAAAAAAAATTGTTTAGGCACTGTTTGTCCAAAAATAAATTCATTTGGGGCAATAATAAATTAAAAAACTTTTTTTTTCCTTTTAAAATTTGCTCTTTTTTTTTTGGATAAATGTGTACCATAAACAATGCATTTGGCCGTTAAGGCACTAACGACTATAAATTTTTAAAAAAAATATATAATTTTTTTTAAAAAATAATTAAAATTACAAATTCATCTACTTATTCTTATAGGATTTTGTAATCCTTATTTTCTTATTCTAATTTGTGTCGTTTAGAAATTTTATTTATTTTTAAATAATAATAATAATTTTATTATTATTTTTTTGGATTGCGAAAATTCAGAAAACCTAATGAAGTGCATATTTTTGAAAAGTGAAATTTATTAATGTGTTTCTTAAAATTACTGACATGATTTAAAAAAAAGAAGTTAATATGACATTTTTAAAGAGTTAAAATTAAGAAAAATTGGTGAAGATGGCGTTAGTACATCAAGGCATAATTGAAATTTTTATTTTAAAACTCGTCTGGAATGATTAGATTTGGATACACACATGCACATGCACATGCACAAATGCTCTTTATTGCATCAGTTGAGTACGTGACTCATGAGGTGATATCCATTACCTTTAATACTGTTGCCACCTGCAGCAAGTATTATCACGTTACCCTTGCCTTTTTTTCTTCCTACTCTTAGTACTAGTATAGCGTATAGGTGTAATCTTCAAGAAATGTCCCCCCTTTTTTTTTCTTTATTTAATGAGCTCTCTATATTTTGAACATTGACAATTTTTTTTAGTCTAGAAAACTTAAATCTTCTCAAATTAAAATATAAGTTCATTGATGATAGTTTTTACTATAATATATTATTATTTTATTTATATTTATACATATACAAATATAATATTCATTATATAAATTAACGAGAACAAAAAATCACACTAATATCTCCCTATATGTTTTTGTGAAAAGTAGTAAAATGTATTGTGATACCAAAGTGACAAGAATGTCAATAATAATAATAAAATCATATATGTTAGTGTTTTTAGTGTAAATTAAATTTCATAATTATTTCCTTACATAAATTATTAAAATATATATTTTTTATTTTGTTTCTGTTAATTTTATTTATTTTTTAATTAAACTATTATATATATATTTTTAATATTTCATAAAAATTCACATCTTTCTCAAAGTGAAATCAAAATAATTAAATTTTTATTTTTAAAAAATTGAAAGAATTGCTGAATAAAAGTTAATTCTAGAACAAATTTTTTTTCTCCACAAATTCTTCTTTTTATTTATAACTGTTGATCCCCTATATTCGCAGCCTCTGCGGATTCTAAGATGGTTGGTAACTAAAGAAGTTGAATAAAAATAGAAACTAGCTAAAAGAGAGTTTGATTATAGTAAGTTTTTAAAATTACTTCTCCTAATATCACATGTAATTGATGTATCACCACCGTATTAATTCTTTATCGATTAAACTTTACTGAAGATAAAAACCAAAAAAAATCCTTAATAATAAAGACTTCTTGTAATCCTTATCATATAGATAAAACTTATATTATTTGTATGATAAATCTCTTCCACCACCAGACATTCTTTAGCAATAATTTTTTACAGGTGCATATCCATTGAACCCATATGATCTGCTCTGTTCTGTGCACGTTAGCACTACTTCATCATCATTTGATTTGTCAAAATGGGTATCGACAATGACTTTTTGCTTCATATTCTCTATTTCTTCTCTTTTTCATATATTCTCTCATAACTATTTATTTAAATTTATTTTTCTCAAGTTTTGGATTTTATTTTTCTCAACATGCATACTAATAAGAACAATATTATTAAGAAATAATATTTATTTTTAAACTTTTTAATTTTTAATCATATAGTTCTATTTCTAGTTCGGTGCCCCAAATGATAAAAGTCTCGTGAGCATTGAGTAATTATTATTATTATTTTTATAGTTGGGCTACTGAATTTGGTTATTTATTTACTTGAGAGTTGAGAGCCTTCACTGTTTACATTTGTATTCCTTTCATCCTGGAGCATTATTTAGTAATGATAAAAGGATATCACACAAAATATTGTTAATTTGTGCTGCTTGTTAATTTGTGTTGAACAACCTTCCTTTTTGCTCTTGTACATGCTCTTTGATATCTTTTCCACTTGCCTCAACTGCCTCTTACTACGACTTGGCATCACAACCCCACCTATTGGCATTGCATCTACCAATCCAAAAACAAACATCTTTTTTCCTTCCGCCATGAGAGAGAAAGTAGATGTTTAGAGAGACAGAGAGAGAAAGAGAGAGAGAGAGAGTGGAGGGAGATTTGATACAGAGATTATGGTTGCTTTGCATGCTACTAAGTTATAGGGGCAAGTGGGATATATGAAACAAAGGCAGTTACATAGTCTAGTGGCTTTCCAAGTTCCTACTATAAAATGATGATCAACGTGGTTTTACTGAATTAATTTATATTTTCAGTAACTTATAATATTCCAGTCCATTCCATTCACTGTATGTATATGTTGCGCATTCTAGGAGAAGATAACAAGATACATTTGAGTTAGAAATATATGGAATCGTGGCTAATGAAAGGACACTAGCCAACATTGTCCCCAAAATTCATTGTCTTGATGCAACGGTGAAAATTAATTACCACCCTTTTCTCCTTTTCTCCTCTTGGGGAGACATGAAGCCTTTATGTTGTTTTAATTCAATTTGGTATTAAATAGTTCTACAATATTAATCTCTATGACTAAATTTACCTCCCATTGCCAGAACCTGTTTGGTTGGATAAGTAAATGATTAGAAGAATACTTCTGCGTGGAGATGAATAGGGATGATATAGATATTTGGGTTAATTCCAAGCCCTTGGAAGGGAAAGGTAGGAAGCTACAGAAGTGTGGTGTTTCGTGATTAGAAGGATATACTCGCTTTTTGGGTGAGACTAATCTCATCTTATATAAATGTCTGATCTCAAGAGAAGAGAATCGAACTCAAGATCACTACAAAAATTAAGTCCAAAATCTTTCTTCTATGATTCAATATAATTCCATTAATTAAGGTATCACTTAATATGCTAATTTAAAATGACATATTAAGTGGTACTCGGAAATTTTCAAGTCATTTTATTTTTTCTTCGTGGTAGGTAAACCTTTTTTTTTTCTTTTTTCGAAAGGTAAATGTGAAGTGTATAAATGAAGAGAGAATGTAGCAAACAAAAACAACATTCACTAGGAGTAAATCACTCCCTCTGTTTTAGAGAGGTAGATGATATACTACTCAACTCAAGATTTTGGTGAAGTTTTATCTTATTGCATAGATACAGAAAGTAACTTCACTTATTGAATTCTTAGCAATCTAAGATGACATTGACTCCTAATCACAACACAACAAGTATCCCATAAACATTAATTATTTCAAGGACATAGTGGACCGAATCAAAGGGAGGAATCTTCCTTTTGACCAAACATAGTTTTAGAGATTGTCACTTGGTGACCAACTCGAGCAAGGTCTTTAAATTTTGAGTTGAACTCCCATTTGGTCCAACAGCCTTGAGAGCAAGCTCTTTGAACACCCCAAGTTGCTCCCTTAATTTCTTCCCTTTCTCATTCTTAAGAATCAGGTCCAGAGCATGCATTGTACCACTTTTAGTCAAGACCCCGCCTTTAACCCTCACTCCAATTTGCAACAAGTTTTCGACCATCCATGTATTCAATTGCTGCTCTGCAAAGACTGGCCTCCAGATCATTGGCACACCACCGGCAATGCTTTCCAACACCGAGGTGCATCCACAATGCGACACAAAAACTCCAATAGCAGCATGTTCCAACACTTGTACTTGGGAGGGGTTCGAGCCCGAACATGAGCAAAAGTGTGTCAGTACTGTACTTAGAATATAAATAAAAATGAAATAAAATAAAGACTTGTACCTGGGGTGCCCATGCCACTATTTTTCCAATCCCAGTGCTTGTCCTCCCCAAGAATCCTTTTGGTAAGTGCCTTGTCATATTGTCCCCAAGAGACCAAAGAAATGGAGTACCACTTGCTTCAAGTGCCTCGGCCAATGCCCCTACCTCTTTAGGCGTAGGTGTTGCCCTGGTACCAAAGCCAATGTATGCCACGGACGCGGCTTTGTGCTTGTCCAGCCAAGCTAGACAGCCATGCTCATCCCTGTTCGACCATGGTAAAGGCGATGTGAAGTTGAAAGGTCCTACACTGAGGAACTTCTGAAACTTGGACTTGAGATCATTTGTGTGAAGGAGGTCTACTTCTTCAAAGGAGTTAATGATAACCGCGGTGGCTCGTGGAAGAGCATGTGCCATTTTATATAGCAGAATTGAAAAGGGAGCTTCTAAGTTTCCCATGACCACTCCATTAGGCAAGTCACCAAGGCGTAATGAAGGAAATCCTGGAAGGAAAGTCACAATTTCATCTTCAAGTCCTGCAACATCTGTACCTACATTTATATACATTGATACAAAGTATATAATTATTAGACTTTAATCTATGAATTAAGAAACACTAGATTACACCTAGAAACTTCACAACACGGAGGCTCACTCTATCATATGGTATGATATTGTAACCCTGGACCCGAGAGTAACCCCGCACGATTTTGCTCATGAATATTACTCTCAAAGATCTCATACCACTTGGAGAAAGCACCACCACATATAAGTTTTACATTTCTCTCACCCAAGCAATGTGCCAGGATTTTTGGTGTGCCCGGTGTACCGGGCACATCAAAATCGTCCGTGCACAACATGCGCAAGCACGAACGACTCTAATAACTCGATCAACGGAGTACACAAAATATATTCTTTGCTAGACCCGTGCTCATGCCGCATATTAATTTTTAAAGTCATAATAACGAAAACAAAGTTTATTGACGAAAACAAAGTTTTTTTTTATATTAATTATTTAAAAAAGGCTTGTTTAATATATCTAGCGACATAGAATTGAAATATGTAATTAGAATTTATGGAATTGGAAAAAAATTTGGTTCAATTTTTCAAATTATTTTTCTCTAATTCTACCAATTTTAATTTTATGCCTGCCAAACATGGACTTGGATCTTCTAAGTTACCATAAGTTGAATTTTCTACATGTGTCATTAAGATATATCTACGACCTATATTAAGTCACGTCAGCTAATTTAATAAAATTAAAAAAACCTTCACCGTTTTAAGATAAAAAGCTTTACGAAGACTAGACAACTCTCTCTCCTATGAGATCTCTCATCTTTTCCCCAAAAAAAAATTCTCCATCTCTCTCTTTTCTGAAATAATAGTATTGGCTTGGATAAAGAAGGTGATTTGATTAAAAAAACTTAAAATAGTAAGTTTTCAATTTAATAATATACCGTATCTAATTAGATGAATTTTGTAAAATTTAAGTTTTGAGCAAAGTTTGCAATGATATCAACAGAAATTCTTCGTTATTTAGAAATACTAAATCTTTAGTTGGTAATAACTAGATGCATTTTTATGACTGAAGTCATTCAATTAAGTGTAACTGTCGGCTATGTAATATTGATTCGGCAATCAATAATATATTAAGCCTATCACAAAGTTACCAAGCGATCTTATTGCGGAGAATATGAGAGAGAGAGAGTTAATGTCATTAAGGTATTTAAAAGCTTTTCGATCTTAAAACGGAGAGAAAGTTAATGTTATTAAGGTATTTTAAAGTTTTTCTATCTCAAAATGGTGCAATTTCCTGACTTTTATTAAATTAGTTGAAGTAATTTAACATAAGTCATATATCTACACGTGCCATTCCGTAAAAAATTCAACTTAAGATAACTTAAAAGAGTTTAATTTAGAAGAATTCAAGTCCGCCAAACATAGCATAAGGTTAGGCTGCATGGAATTGAAATTTTTGAAATTTTTTTAAAGCTCCAATTCTGTGCAACACCTCCACAGTAAAGCTCGGATAGCCCCAATAATTTCTTCACTGAACGGGGTACTACATTGGATACCCCCTTTCCTATCAAACGGGGTACCACGTTGGATACCCCCAATAATTTCTCCACCAACCAATGGAGCACTGACAGGTATATGCACAATAAAGCTTTTCTTAAAGTTATTTATCATTCCATTGCAGGAGCTTTTCGAACACATAACACAAAATTCACAGCACATATCATGTAGGATTCCATGCAACAACCCACCTCAGCAACCATTGGCACACATTATTTATCTACTTAAAAGCAAAGTAGAGTGACATACATATTTTGATATGCACAATAAAGCTTTTCTTAAAGTTATTTATCATTCCATTGCAGGAGCTTTTTGAACACATAACACAAAATTCACAGCACATATCATGTAGGATTCCATGCAACAACCCACCTCAGCAACCATTGGCACACATTATTTATCTACTTAAAAGCAAAGTAGAGTGACATACATATTTTGATAAAATATGATAACATGACGCGAGAATGGTACGTGGAACTATAAAAAGTAACAAATAATTTTTTATTTGGTTCTCGGACTCCAAGAATGTGATTGAGAATGGTGTGTTTGGGTCCACTAACAAAGCTCTCAATTTTTGCCCCATACCATCACCCCTTATTCTTTACTTTATGCTCATATTCTCTATTTTAGCTTGGGATGCTCTAACATGTGAATTTTGTGCTGTGTTCAAAGACCAAATGACTTCCCATTAAAAAAAAATATAGGCAAATGTGACTTTTAGTAAGCCAGAATCAAGACAAAACATCCTTCTTTTTGCTTTTTTGTTGTAGGAAAATACTTAAATCCTGCCCCATCAAAGACAGATTATGTCCTACACACTAATGTATTCCAATAAGAAGTTGACACCTCTTTTAAACTTAAAAAAATACAAAATATAGGTTATACCTAATTTTTAAGATTAAACCCTACAAAGCTATTTTTTTTCCTCTCTTTGCTCTCATCCGTGTAACTTTATCTGCATGTTTCTTTTTCTTTAACCGCCAATCATTCCGAACCTAATATTCTCATTATATCTTCCACCACTCCGTTTCAGATGGATTTCGATTTGGTCTTAACAAAGATTGATTTATTTTCTTAAAATAGGTACGTTAAAACATTATATTTGTCCGACGGTTGCTTTTGCTCTCATTCTTATTTACAGAAAGAGGTACATAAAAAATAAAAATAAGATAAAAATCGTAAAATTGAGTGAAAAAATAAATAACTTTCATATACAACATGCATAAAAAAACAATTGAGGTAGATTTTAAAAAGAGAAATAGAAATAGAAATGATTAGTTGATTTTTTTGTTAGTTCAATTTTTTTAAGGATAGTTTCTATCTTAAGAAAATTAAAAATAACAAAAAAAAAAAAGTAGAAAATACAATTTTCCATGAGTTAATTAAAAATAACATTCAAAGTTGAGTAAGGAAAAAAATAAATCTATCGGGTTTAACTATAAAATATAGATATAACCCATATTTCGAATTTTTATTTTTTTTATTTTTTAAAGTGTCAATCTCTTATTAAGACAGGTTAGTATGTATGATACAATCTGTATTGATAGGACAGGACAAAAGCATGGTCTTTTGTTGTAGGAGGGTTTAAGAAGGTTGTAGTATAAGTTTAGACCAAAAAAATCTGATATGTTATAAACTATTTAACGGGCCCAAATTTGAATACAAATATAAAAAAAGACAATATCATAAAGATGCAAACGGGGCCTTAAGAGGAAAAAGTTTGTGGTATTATATATGCACCAGACCAATGACTTGCAATCATCACAACAAGCAAAATATGACTCCGAAGGCCCAGAACCAAAACAAGAGCAAGTCATTAAACATAGTACTATTACCAACTAAGATGGCAAGCATATCAACCTAAAAAAGACTAGCAAATTAATCATCCACATTATTTGCTTAAATCAAGAGGAAGATCACCATAACTGGAGTTGGAAACCACTACTAGTAGTAGTTTATGCGCTTGCTGCTGCCTGTTTTTCCACTGCTGGTGTTCTTCTTGTTATAAGTGACATCACGAACCCTCTCTAACCTCAGTGTAGCCACTTTTGTTGCCAATCTTGATGGTTTCGCTCCTCTTGTACTCATCTCTCACACCAACTGGTCCAATGCCTCTCTCCCGGTGTGTCTGCCCGTAAGAGCGGCTCTCCTTGGCGGTACAGCGTTCATAGCTGCCACTCTGCTTGTCTTGGTGGTTCATCCTCGAAGTCATTTCATAGGACTGTGAATCATTGTTAGTAGATTGCTTGTAACTAGTAGTCCATGAAGGACAACCTCCACATATCCACTTGTTGCTTGCTTGTCACTAGTAGTCCATGAAGGGGCAACCTCCACATATCCACTTGTTGCTTGCTTGTACCTAGTAGGTTCGACAACCCCCACATATCCAATTGTTGAGTGCGGAACATAGTCACTGTAGTCGGATCCGTCCTCCATTTGGAAATAGTCTGTCACAGACACAAAAGAGGCCACACACACAACTCATTAACATTGCTTTAAAATGTAAATGAATCAACAAGTGCTGAAGTCACATTTAAGTTCTCAGAAAATTAATGAATACACATAGAATTTAGCTAACATGGAATCTTAAAAGCCCAGTCGTCATGTTACAAAACCATTTTTCATATGACTATTTCTCCATTTCTCCCAAAAACAAAAAATGCTTTATAATTTCCACTTCAATGGGGATGTGTGAATGATCATGGATGGCCATCACCATGATGTGAACAGTATCACAAAAGTATATAAAATTAAGAAAATTAAAGCAATGGTGATTAACAAACCTACTAACAATATGCATTTTAAGAAAAGATCAAAATACAGAACCACACTATAGCAAAGAGGATTACAAAGAACAGAGCTACTACAACAGATGAAACAAGCCTTTAGCACCTATCACATAGTTACTAGTACAGTATGCATCTGAAAGAAAGGCATCATAATCTTACAATGTAAATAAGGCATTATCAATAAAGACTCAATAAAACGAAGAATTTACTATTAATCACCAATCAGACAATGGAATTGATGTATATTAAACACAACTTCGCACAAAACATACCATGTTTGGTTGTCATGATTTCCAATCTTAGAAAGATTGGCATTTTCATGTATATCACATGGTGCAAATACATTGCAACCATTTTAGTTTCTCCTATTTACTCTGAGAGAACAAAAAAGGAATCATGGGATGCTTGTTAGGCTCACTTTTATTTCCTAAAGTTGGGCTGGGTTGGATTTTAGGTTGGTTGCCTAGAACAAGTCCAAAAGCAGACCAATCTTAACTGCAGGCCTTAAAGCAGACCCCTGGCCAAACCCAATCAAGTAAACCCTGGACTAAGTGGGCAAAAGATTTCACTGTGTTTTGGGTTGGCCCATTCATGATGAAGCGTCAATTGTCAACAACTGCATATATATTTAATCCATGAATCATCATATGACTTCCAATTAAATTCGGAGAAAATTTTAAACTTGCATCAAATATCTATATGTCCAGAACTTCCAAATAATAGTACCATAAAAGTAACCACAGAAATTTCAT